CTTCCATTAAAAAGTACATTTGATTGAAATACTCTGGTTTCTCTTCGACAACGCTCTCCTTTCCCATCGATGAAAAGGAGACTAAAATCGGGGTGAGAAAAAAAGGGCGTGCTTCTAAGTGTTATTAATTCAGAAAATGCTGACCATGAGAATCAGAAAATTATGATGTGTCAGAACCTTGGACTGTTGTTGAAGCGTATTCGGCATTTATACTGAGCATGCTCGGCCACTCGTGGTAATAAGGAAAGTAACCTAAAACAATGGAAACAAATTGAAAATGGACAGGAAACCAGCTGGTAATAAAAAAAGACTAATAAATTGTTGGAGACTATAATACAATGCGGAAGCTTAGAAAAGTGGGAATTGTTCATGGACAGTGTTGTGAATAAGACAAAAAAATGCAATAACGAATTAACACATTGTTTTGTCAAAGGTCTTGAGAACAGTATACCAGAAAGACAGGTGTTGTTTTAACACTACATTTAATAGGAGGATTCAAACAAACAACGTGATTTATTGTTATTCCAAATTTATTGTTCTTAACCAGGAATTATGTATATTACAACCATGATCAAGAAAAAGATTCGAATTTAATTAAGTTCTGTTCTTCACAAATGAGACAACTAAGGAAACTTATGTAAAGTTAATACTCAAACACTTCAAGCATTCACGAGTTATTCATTCATATACCAAACGTATTATCTGCACTAAGTGGTAATTTTGTAAACCAGATGACATAGACTACGTGATGAAATAGCTTTATCATAACGTCTAATTCAAACATCGTGAACTCTAGAATAACGTTTTGAACCTAACTAAAGCAATTATTGACTTCCAATGTCATGTTTTATTTCACAGCTAACTCAGCGACAGGAATATTATAATGTGCATGTTTACTTCGTATTATTATTCATACGTATTATGCGTCAGTTTACGTCACAACGGCTTTTTTTTATTTTTATTTTTTTTCAGCCATGTTATAACAAGGAACTAAACCACTTTATTTTACGTAAAACGTTTTCTGCGATTTCAACACTTGCTATAGAACTCCTTATTTAAAGTGCAAAAACTAGAACTAACTCTTGCCAAATTTTCTGACTGTAAACAGCCGAGATATCTTGATCTCCTTTCTTGATCTGGCTATTTTTCATTTCATTGTCTATTTTTCTTCAAGTGTTAGGTCATATTATTCTGCATGAAAACTATTTAACTATGGAAATACTCTGACCGCTGTTTAGAAGTGTGGAATTCTGTTCATTTCACTAACACTAGCAAGTAATCACTCTGTTTTGAGACTTTCCCGCTTCACTGGCAAATAACACAACACTGTACCTTTGTCAATTTTTCTTAAATTTTCCCACTCCCCCAGAGGAACAGGGTACAACTCCCCTGGGGGAATTCTTATGCCACTGTCAATTGGGAAACTGTTTATTATGAAATACACCCTCCCTTCTATTTCCACTGCACCAAGGTTGTTTGAGGGAATGTGTTTTTGTTCAATAACAGACCAAGTGTTGTTTTCCTCATTATACATTTCAACAGGTGCAGGGTTACCGCTTGGACTGGTGTATTGGCCGAAATTATTAACGTTCATTGAAACACATCCTCCTGCAACATAGAGTCTATTGTCTACTACAAGAAGACTGGATCCAAAGTGAGGTTGGCAGGTTGCTGCTTTCACTTTCCATTCATTCTTTACTGGATCAAAACAATTTAGTACTGCTGGGGAAAAAATCGCTGATGGCAACTGTGATCTATTTTCATAAAGTACAAACACTTTTGAATGCAATATTACTCCATTTTTGCTGGGGCGATAATTTTTGCCTCTTGTACCTACTAGTGCAATACTTTGCCATTGACGTTTGGCAAAGCTGTATCTTTGAGAAGCCTGATCTGAATTAGCACTAATTGCATACATATGATCATCAATAACACATAAGTCACTGATTACAACATCTGGGTGACGCAGCTTTTCCCACACATTTCTTTCTGTATCATACTGAAAAATGCAACGACCAATTGAAGAGTCAAACCCAGCAACAAACAACTCGCTGCCAAAAGAGACTGCGCAGTAACACGGAGCTGCCTGAATTGCCGGTATTGTGGATGCCAATGGTTTCCATGTTGTGGCTTCAACGTCAAAATACTGCATCCGCGCGTTCGGTTGAACTGCAATCAGAACCTGAAATAAAATGTG